AGTGACCTAAATAAAACAGATATTGTACGCTAAATAAAACATGGGTACTTCCCTATTGTTACGAAACAGAGTAGCTTGCCCTTTGACATGTCCAACTTTTCCACGTCCTGCTTCTTTATGATGTTTCTAAACTCAATTCCAGTACGTTTTATAAGGATAATTAAAAGTGACCTGATAATACACACTTACTTTAAAATGTAATCATTTCTTTCAGTTCAATTCTTTTCCACCAATCTTTACATATGGATTGACAAATGTTACATATAACCAAAGGATGGCCGCGCGAAAAAATTATGTGAAATCGGTAAAAAAAAGTCAAACATCTATTTTCCCCGAAATTGAAAAGGTATTCTTTTTTTGAGTGTTCGTACCCCATCGTGGCATTACAACAACTCTTCCAACATTTCAGAACTTCTCTGAGTTGCTTCTTTATTTTGGTGCTCGTTTGAAAAAATGTAATGGAAATATACGAACAAATGCAGCGTGGAATCATCCTCTGTTAAATGAAATGGTCCGAGGCATGGGGGGTGGGGGGAGAGTGGGATGGAGGGCGGGGTTGAGTGGAGGGGGTTGAGTTTAGTTTTGTATGCAATGGTTTGGGGGAAGATGTGCTGGAGGATGGTTGGTTAGAGTGTGGGGATGGATGGTGCGTTATTTGTTGTGATGGTAGACGATGTGGTGGAGGGTGGGGTAGAGTGTGTATGCTGGAGGGGGGGTAAATGATTGGGTTAAGGTTTCGGCGGATGGCTCGGTGGAAGATGTGTCGGAGGGTTCGGTAGGGTTTGGGGACGGATGGTGGAGCACGGGCTTCAAGGGAAGGGCTGATGGAGGCTGGGTTGGAGCGTGGGGAGGAGGAATGGGTGGATACTTTGGGAAACACTCCAATGATTTATTGATATCAAATTGCATTTATTACTTCAAGTATTTTTTTTTTTTAAATTAACAATGCTTTCGTGTGCAAAGTAAATTGCCAAAAATAAACAGACAGTTGACGGAGCAGCTTCTAGTATTTGTATATTGAATCTGTTATTGCCTTGTTAATGACGGGGAGAGACTGCAATCAGGTTAGACAAATGGAAATAATGAGCGGAACAAAGTATGGGGGAGCCTCACAAAAAAACAAAAAAAAACAAAAACAACAACTAAAGAACGCAACAAAATAACGCTGTGTCGGCAAAACGCCTTCGTAAGCGAACACGTCGCTGAAACTGAATAATAATATCCGAGAGATCATCTAGAGGGAAATTGAAGTGTTTCAGCTAAGGGTTATTGTGATTTTTTAAAAATTCTGATTTTATTGTTGTTTGATCACGGATGAAGTCTTTTTGACGACATATTCGTTATTTCTTTGTTTGTTTCTTTCTTTGTTTGTTTGTTTGTTTGTTGTTTTTTTTTTGCGTTCATTTTCCCCAATTTTTGTTCCCCATCTTTATACCATTTACTCAATTCACGACGGTATTTTAGTACAACTTGTTTAAACGCGAATCCTTCTAGTTGACGTGTCGACTGCATCTTCTTGCCTGGGCTTGTCTCCTCTTATTCGTTAACTCACGCAGGGTCAAAATTAAGGTTGAAGGTACAAAGAATATTACGCATATTTTTACATTCGGGAGTCTCTCCTCTAACAAATAATGCAGGATTGTTGGGAAAAGAAAAGCTCTGGACATACAAACATTCTTTTTTATTTTTTTACCCCCCCCCCTCATCCCCCCCTTTTGTTTATGTGTTACTCAGACTTTTGGAATGTTCAGTCCGGTTTCAAGGGAAAGACAAAAAACACAAGAGAATTCATCAACAAGCTTAAGGAATACAGTTGAGTTACGATTTTTGGAAGTGGACAGGCTCGGGGTGTTTGCTAGCAGGATGTTTCAAAGATGGGCTCGGAGGGTAAGAGATCCGGGGTGACAGAGGTCACCGGGTGCTGGAGTGGATGAGGAGTAATGTTTGGTTTTGTTTTTTGTTATTTTTGATGAATGTGTTGTGTACAGTTGTTGAGAGCTGACAAAATTATAGGTCCGTGGTAAAGAGGTGTAACATTATCATGCACTAGTTTAAAATATTGTCTGGTGGTGTATAATTCGGTGCAGTGTTGCAGTTGACGAAGGCAGTGCATACTCACTACGACATAGGGCAGTAGGTTTCGTTGCATATTACATGGCATTGTCTCAAATACCCGGAACCGGTATTTAAAAAAAGAAAAACTGCACCCGTTTAAGACCTAGTGGGAAATACTGATTGAAAATGGGGAGGGTGGGGGAAAGTTGTCTCGTGTATTTTAGTTTAGGGAAAATGTCAAATAAGAAAAAAAAAAAAACGAGGAATTCATTAATAAATCTAAACTTTAATTTAGCAATAGTGATGTATCATTTCACTCGACACTATCCCTGGTTCCGTCAATGGGTGAACATTTAGCATCCTATCACTGTTTCCACCAATGGGTGATCGTCCAGGAGTTGCTTAAGGATGTAGCTTTTGACAACACACTTACTCTGCCCATTTTTGTTGTTATACATACATACATCTGTTACATATCCCAGACCCCTCCCCCCCCCACCCCAAAATCAAATAAAAAATCAAACAGTTGGATGTTTTTAAAGACCCAATGAAAAGGAATACAATGTAGTACTAAAGTTGCAGTCTTACTCTTCTATAGCCCGGATTAGAGCGCACCTAGTCAATTGACAATTGTTTACAAAAAATAAATAAAATAAAGCAAAAGAGTTTATTCGGGCGAAGAATATTTTATATATATACTAGATATAGCCCGCCAAACATTGGCGACAGCAATGCGTGAACTTTCCATCTTGTAAAGTTACTTGATAAACACGAACTCAAGTAGGGCACATTTAAAATAACCCCCATATTTGCTACACCCCTTCCCCCATGATACGTCACTGCAAACTTTTTATTTCACGCCCATGAACTATATTAATATTCTCATGTCCCAGTCACTTTTAAACCGAATATTTTTTACACAATACTTAAATTGAGACGATTTCATTTACGTTAACTGTAATCCTGTAACACACCATTAAAGCAGTGGTTCTCAATCTTCCTAATGCCGCTACCCTTTAATACGGTTCGTCATGTTGTGGTGACCACCCTTCCGCCCCCCAAACATTAAATTATTTTCGTCGCTACTTCATAAATATGTTTGCTATGGTCTTAGTCGGCCCAAGTGTAAGGGTCGTTCGATCCCCAGGTCAAGAAACTCTGCCAGAAAGGATCTAAGACACTTGGGGTGGGGTGGGGGATGGGCTTGGGGGGGGCGGCAAACACTAACACATTTAACTGAGGTACGCCTCTGTTTCAAACGACGACACGAAGTGGGTTACATAATACAACCGCTAAGTTTTGTGACACGACCAACAGAGAGGATTTTTGTCTTGACCTCGACACAGTGAATCCATAAAGTTTCCACTCAGGTTGTCCCCCCCCCCCCCGCCTCACACGTATCCACTTCATTACGTCATCCACACACACACTCAAACCGATCCCGCCCCCTTTTTTCTTTTTGAAGCAAATATTGTTTAAACCCCAAGGTCAGCGTCACCCGTCTCTTCTTCACACGCACCCCTTCCCCCTCCCCCCCCATCTCCCCTCTTTCCACCCCGATCCCCACTCACGAGTAAACACTAAAACTCATCTTAAGACGATACACGCGACGCGCATGACTGACTTCAGAAACGTCAGAACCTGTTCACTGAGGATTATGGTGGTGCGTTACAACCTGCCCCCCTCCCCCTCCTCTCTCTTGTAACAGTGTTGATGTTACCAAAGGTCGGATAAGAGTTTAACGCGGAGGTGTTAATCAAGCACACACACACACACACAAAAAGAACAAAAAATAAATTCTGTGATGATGGTCGTCACCTCGCGAATCATGGCATCGAAATGATTTTCAGTCCAGAATCGATGCCAGCAGGATTCGATACCGACCTATCGTCTACCGTGTATCTTGTCTTTAATTCTGTTTGATCTATTTATTTGATTGTCTCTTCATTGTTCTTGTCGCTGTTGTCGTTTCTTTGTTTGATTGCTTATCTACAACTGTCGTTTCAATTTTCTTTACATTAAGTTTTTTTTAGCTATTCATCAAAGATTTGGACTGCGATAAAAGCTTTTAAGTAGATTAATGAGACATACACACAAAAAAACCCAACAAAAACACAAAAAACCCATAAACAACAACAACAATATTTTTTGTAAATAAAACAATATATGATTAGCCTTAAGTATGGCTATAAAATATACAAAACTGAAATGTTTGGGCCCAATGCCTTCGTCAGCACATACAAACAAAAAAAAACAAACAAAAAAAGAAAAGAAAAGCTTCATATAAGTATAAATGAAATGCAGCCGAGCAGCCCACAATTATGACAACGTCAACACCGTTTAACAACATAGCCACACACACTTTTTTTAAAAAAACAACAACCCAACATTGTAACTTGAAATAAGAACCCATATATGGCAACCCTTCACAAATTACCGGCACGTCGCGCTTATCGGTACGGTGTTGTACTTCTTTCTAATCAAATTAGGTATTCGATATTATGTAGGCCTATTTTCTGTCAGTAACACATACACAGACACACACACGGTACTCTACACCCACTCATACCATCATTTATTCCATTTAGGCAACACGTAGGCACCAAGGAAAAGAAGAGTGTAGGTTCAATACCAAAGAATGTATTATGGACCAACGACTGGGAAAACAGCGTAGTGGATTTTTTTTTTTTTTTTTTGTGTGTCTGGCCGGGGGGAGGGAATGGGGGAGTGGTTTGAGAGAAAGAGAGAGAGATTACATTGAAATGTCAACAAATGATGCTATAAAATGAGAATCCTGTGTCCGGCGTTTGCAAGCAGCCGCTGGTAACGGGGGTAAAGAATGTATTATGGACCAACGACTGGGAAAACAGCGTAGTGGATTTTTTTTTTTTTTTTTTGTGTGTCTGGCCGGGGGGAGGGAATGGGGCAGTGGTTTGAGAGAAAGAGAGAGAGATTACATTGAAATGTCAACAAATGATGCTATAAAATGAGAATCCTGTGTCCGGCGTTTGCAAGCAGCCGCTGGTAACGGGGGTGACAGTATTAGATAGTTCATTCAGAGTCAAATTAGCAGTAAAGTTTCTAGTCCAAGTCAATCAACTGTGATTTCTACACACATAGTCCTTTTAAAATATATGTCTATATATGTAATCTTTTTTTTAAAAAAATATTATTTACACCTATTCATCACCAAAGACACCAGCAGAACTGCTTCATAAAGTAGCGACGACGACAAGAAAAACACTCCCACTACAACAACAACACCAACAGCAGAACTGTTGAGGGCGATCACAACTGATCCAAGGATCCGAGCAAACAAGAAAGGTATGGAGACGTCTTGTCTGTTTTCATTTTTTCAAACCTAGACAGCTGGAAATTCAACAGCTGAAACATTTGAGGCGTTTCCCTGCGTGTGTAGCTAAGCTATATTCTTACGGTGATTACTGGACAATGTCTGTGATACATGTCCCCCGTTTCCAAACCACAATGGGGCATGTGTTATCAATAGCATTACAATTAACTACTTCAAGACAAAATACTTTTTAAAGTTCAAAACCCCCTTAAGTGTTTCGTTCTATGTAATGATGTATACATGATATCCATCAGTTCTTTGTAATGATGTATCATGAGAGCCAAGTTCGGTAAGATCCATCAGTTCTATGTAATGATGCATAAATGAGAGCCAAGTTCGGTAAGATCCATCAGTTCTATGTAATGATGTATACATGAGAGCCAAGTTCGGTAAGATCCATCAGTTCTATGCAATGATGTATACATGAGAGCCAAGTTCGGTAAGATCCATCAGTTCTATGTAATGATGTATACATGAGAGCCAAGTTCGGTAAGATCCATCAGTTCTATGCAATGATGTATACATGAGAGCCAAGTTCGGTAAGATCCATCAGTTCTTGTAAAGATGTATGCGCAACAGATCCGCAAACTTTCAAACAAATGTTCCCTTTTAAATATATGGATGGGACTAGTTAGCCCTGGAATGCAACTCATCTAAGAGAAGGCTAACTCTGAATTCAAACCAGGAACCAAAAGGATCAATACATTGATCGTGGGCCCTCAAATATGAACAAGAATATTTTTTTTTTATTAAAAAAAAAATATAAATGACTGTGTAAATAAGATATCTGTCCATGGCATCTTGCAGGGTGTGGTTTTTCTTGAAAGATGGTATGAGCGGTGCAGTACAGAGGATAGCGGGATTCTATTCTCTTAATGAACGTCGTTTGAAATTAAGCTTTTAATTTACTTAGGTCACTGCGTATACGTGCAGCGGAGATCAGAGGCGTGTGAGAGGGGGGTGGGGGAGACCCATGCGGAGGGGGAGATAGACCAGAATAAATATGTTTACTGACAAATCGTTTCGTAAAATGGAATGTATAGCACAACATGTAGTGTGTTGGACTTGCTTTCATTTAATGGTTAACAGTGATCTACTATGCTGTGACTGAAGAAAATAGAGGAACTGGTGTAAACAGAAAATAAAATTTGTCCTGGAAAGGAGCGATTGGGGGGAGGAGGGGGGCGCGTCATTCCTATGCGCATCCATAAAATCTTCAGGTGCAGACGCCGATAGCGCCCCGTCGAATGGATAGCGCCCCGTCAAATGTGTCTCATTTTTTAAAAAGAATCGTAGAAATATTTGCTTAGAGAGTCTGACGACCACCCCCCCCCCTCCCACCACAAGGCATTCATTGAAACTCTTGAACGTCCATATCCTATAGACACTGTGACGAGACCCAAAAGTGGTGAATCCGTTCATCAAATGCTGCAAGCTTTCTTGTTTAAACGAACTGAAGAGTTACACATTTCCCTCCTCTGGGTATTGACATGTTTTTACACAAGAGAAATTCGAAGCCATCATCGGGTAAATGTTTTAGGAACACTGCATTTGTAAAAAAAAAAATATATATATATTTTTAATTCTTTATATTGACTTCAGTTTTGATAAAATATCTTGACCCACTTCTCTTGAACCAATCGAGGTGAAACTTAGCTCGTTTCCGCTGACAACGCATTCTGTCAAATTTTCAGCCCCCATCCCCAAACCCCCCCAAATTACTTTTTCCTGTTTTTTTTTTCCAAGGTTAAGTGAAGGAAAAATGATGACATTGATTTCACGAAATAAAATACCTACTAACTGCTAAATAAGATTCTTTTTAAACAAAAAGATATCGCAAGTGCGTTTGGTGCGCAATGTGTTCCTCTCTCTTCTTCTGAAATAGTTTTTGAAATAAATATGCGGTGAAAGGCGGGTGGGTCATTTGACTATTAATATAAAATAAAATAATAAGACATGAATATATAGGATTTATACCAATAGATTTGTTTTCTAAGGGTCGTTTAATCAAATGCATCGATCAATGAAACAGACTTCTAAGTGGCAATTGAAACGGTTGTTGCTCTGAAGATTTTCTCTCACTCTTTTTTTTTTTAAACATTCACCTTTGATTATTTTGTTTGGGGCTGAGTTACATTTCATCTGACCTTTGCCATTTAACTCTTGTTTGCAGATGGCTACAGTGAGTCTCAGAATGTGCGCGGCGGCTCTCGCGCTGGTGATGCTGCCGAGTTTCGCGCATGCGCACGGCCGTATGCTGGACCCCGCCTCCCGGATGTCGGCCTACCTCCTCGGCTTCTCCACGCCGGTCAACTACAACGACATCGAGATGAACTGCGGTGGGCGCGTAGTAAGTCGATGTTTGTAACTCACTTTTAAGCCCAACTCCATATATTTTGTTAGTTGTTTTTTTTCTTTCTATGACAAAAACCGAATCGAGGAAAGTCCACCTCGAAACCGAAGACAAATATAGTCCAAAGAATGTATCGACTTGAGCCAAGAAGTACACATTTTAGAAAGACGTCATCCATGAACTCATTTGCGGGAAGCTTAATACAGTTTCGGAAAAAAAAATATGTTGAGTATGACGTGTGCTCTAAAGATGCGCGTGAATCACGGTCAAAAGGATAGTGTCACTATGGGACATGCGCAGAACTGTCAAAGCGAGGTGAAAGAGCTCAGTTGTCGTGGGCCGCGTGCTTGGCCAATTCGCGACGTAATTTGAAATCCAACTTTGGCGAAAGTGCCACCACCTGGGTGGGGTGGGGGGCATACGTTACTGCAACTGAACGCCCATGCGGATACGTGTCCTCTCTTAAACTAGTGATATGGCTCTGGGTGTCCGTTTTTCAATAGACTGCTGCCAAAGGTTCTTGTGTTGCCAAACTTGAAGCCCCGTCATGGTACACAAACTGGCGCCTCTGCTAGACATTTACTAAGATACTAATTATTTTAACGTGCTTTCGCATGAACTTGCCAACATCTTTCCACATAATTTCGATATGTCCTCGTAACCTCCTACCAGATTCAGTGGCAACAGAACGGTGGCAAGTGTGGGATCTGCGGTGACGTGTGGTCGGGCCCGCGGTACTACGAGCGGCCCAACGGTACAATGGTACAGCACAGCGTCATCACAAAGGTGTACCGTGAGGGTGACGTCATCTCCATCAAGCTGCAAATCACCGCCAATCACATGGTGAGCTATCTCCGCATCAACGTTTAATTATGGTTTTTTCGTCACCTTTAGGGAAAACCGTAATTGTAATGCATTAAATAAAACAATGATACCTGTTGGTTAGTTATTTGTTTTGTAAACATAACTGTGAATAGTACTAAATTTTGTTTAAAGCTCAAATCGGGTCTTCCCCTCTTGGAGTAAGGGGACCTTCTGTTAAGTCATCGTTTGGTATATCAACGATTTACTTATTCTGGAATATATGTTTGTTAGATTTTGAAGCAAAGTAAGGGATAGCACGGTGGTCATCCAGCCCAAACAATGGCTTTTATCTGCGTCCCTCACAAGATCACGCTTTGCGTGTGTTGTTGAATGGGCGTTTTAATCTCTTGTTGGTGATGTAAATGACGTAGAGATTGGGCGCAAAAACGTAAAGTAAAAGTTGCGTACGCCTATAGAACGAAGGTGTATCATAACATTTTAGAAGTAGAAGGTTTTTGTTGATAAAAAAATAAATAATAGAAACTGTGTATATATTAATTATTATTATTATAATTATTATTATTCTTAAACATTCCATGTATATTTATTACCCCGACAGGGCTGGAATGAGTATCGTATTTGCGATATCGCAAGATCTGGCGGTGTCGAGGCCACCCACGAATGCCTGGATCAGAACCTGCTGGCTGATGAATCTGGGCGAACTCGGTTTTATTTCGAAAACACCAATACCGGATTCTACACGCACACCCTGGTGCTGCCGCCTGGCTTTACGTGCGCCCATTGTCTGCTGCAGTGGAAGTGGCATTGTGGTTAGTGTTGCTAAGTATTAGTTACGGTCTTACTGGGAAATTATGATATCTCTTGGCTGTTGTTTTTTTGTTGTTTGTTGAACGGGGCATCCATGGAGCCCAGGGCCGTGTCAAGGAAAAGATGTGCCCGGGGTGCATCTATGGAATCCAGGGCCGTGTCAAGGAAAAGATGTGCCCGGGGTGCATCTATGGAATCCAGGGCCGTGTCAAGGAAAAGATGTGCCCGGGATGCATCTATGGAATCCAGGGCCGTGTCAAGGAAAAGATGTGCCCGGGATGCATCTATGGAATCCAGGGCCGTGTCAAGGAAAAGATGTGCCCGGGATGCATCTATGGAATCCAGGGTCCAAGTCTCAATTTTCGTCTGAATATTTAATAAATACACATATTCCTTTTGCACGAAGAAGCACATTTTAGCGCTTCCCTCCCTTGGGTGCTCAGGATGTACGCTCACTTAGTTCCACATTTAGCAAGGCGCTGCACTGTTCACGAAATGGCCACTTAAAAGTGCAGCAACATGTAATGCGTGATTAGTGTCTCATTACAAATGGACAAAGGGAATGTGAGGCTTTACAGTGGGGCCAAGTATCTCAGTGAAGCCAGTGGTCAGTGAGTCCAATGGTCACAATGAGGTAAGTGATCGCAATGAGGCCATTGTCCCATTCAAGCTTTAGGTCACGGTGAGTCTTATAGTCACAATGAGTCCAATAGTCACAGTGAGGCCAATGGTCACATTGAGGCCAATGGTCACAGTGAGGCCAATTGTCACAATTAGTCCAAGTGTCACAGTGAGGCCAATTGTCACAATGAGTCCAAGTGTCACAGTGAGGCCAATTGTCACAATGAGTCAAATGGTCATAGTGAGGCCAATGCTCACAATGAGGCCAATGGTCAGAATGAGGCCACTTGTGACATCGAGGTAATGGTCACAGTGAGGCCAATGGTCACAACGAGGACGATAGCCACAGTGAGGCCAAGGGGTTTCGTTGATTAGAGATGTTTAAGATCAGCCGACAATGCCAATGACTGATGCCTTTCTATGTAGAGTAACCAGTGAAATCTACGTCCTAAACGCTTGTTTTTAATACATGTTGTAACATCCGTGTGACATACCTTCAGTAAACTCAAACATTTTGAACATTAAAAAAAAATATTCTTGTAGTATTTTTTTACACTTCAGTAGGTCTTTACGGGAGGTCAATATTATCTTTTTATCCCATGTTGCTAGCACCAAGTTATTAGAATTTGAAATAAATTGGTCGCTAAACTAACGTGAACGGTGTTTCAGCCAAATAAAAACAGTATTTTTTACTACAAATATTTTCTTTCTTATCATTTGAAAAATGTTAGAGTTAAGGCTAAACTGTACTTGTTTTTTTCTCCAGGCAATGACTGGGGGTGTGATAGCAGCGGGTGTGCCCTGGGTAAAGGGGAAGTCCAGGAGGAGTTCTACGCCTGTTCCGATGTGACCGTCACCTCAAGAAATGGTACTGTGGTTGAAGCTTCAACACCATCCACAATAGCAACCACCAGACCGACAACGCAGGCACCAACAACGCAAGAACCAACAACGACTACCACAACAACAACCACCATAATACCATCTTCCTCGTTCATCCCGCTTCCCGTGACCAATCCCGGACCAGCTGACACAACCGCAACGACGTCTACAACAACCACCACTTCAACCACCACCTCCACCCCAAGACCTACTACGTCATCCGCTACTCCCACCAGCCAGCCCACCGTCCCAACAACCAAAAGGCCAGATACTAGGTTGGTCTTCCCCACAGCCAGTCCCGTCAACACGAACTTCATCAGCGGAGAGGACTTCCTCAAGATGATCCTGGGCCAGAAGAGCAACTACACCAGCATCGTCGGGGGCCCCACCCTACCCCCACCCACCAGCTCCATCAAATACCCCACGGCGAGCTCGGGCGTCTACGACGCCCTGACTCGCGACAGACTCTGCGCCACGTGCACCATTGGCTGTAGGTACCAGCAATGCTACACTTACTGTCCAGATATATGCTCCTTCCTAGAGATTAGACGCACGGGTTAGACAAAAAAATGCTAAATCACGGTTCTCAACCTGTGGGTCGTCAACGCAGTGATTGAACTACACTTAAACAGGGGGTCAGCTAAGACAAACTGAAAACAGACATTTATGAAGTAGCAACGAAAATAATTTTATGGTTGGGGGTCACCACATCATAAGGAACTATATTAAAGGGTTGCGGCATTAAGAAGGTTGAGAACCACTGCGTTAGATCCTAAGCTGTACTGATATCTACTGCATTTTGTGGCTTTTCTCACGGCCAAAAAGAAAATTTCCTTCTTATTTATGAAGGTTGTTTGTTTTATGTCTTGAAGAGATGCATCTGCCTTTATCTTATGGATAGCAGATTTAATACTCTACTCAAACAAAATAAAATATCAAACGAAATAAAACAATAACTCGAGATTCTCCGTCTCATACAAGCTGTCCGAAGCATTTCAATGTACATAGGATGCATTTAGTTGTTTTTTTTTTTTAATTTAAAAAAAATATTTTTTTGTAAAGGTGTATATAATCTTTTTTTCTTTCGATTTGCCCAGTGAACTTTTTAAATATCATTTACATCGAATCAAAGATGTGACTCAATTCGTACATCATTGTGTTCATAGAGTTAAAGCCCCTGTGATGTGTATGTGACGTGTATGTGATGTATATGTGATGTATTTGTGATGCATATGTTAGACCTTAACATGATGTCACGTGTTGTGGGCATAAAAAAAATACATATCTGAGATGAATGTCCGAATTCACGAAGATGTAACAATTTTACGGTAGTAAAGTTTTTATAGATGTGTACGTATGGGTAACATGGAAATGTGTAAACTGTACAATTTTAAGAGGAGGGTGTGTGATGGTGAAAAATATGTGTGTGAGGGGGGGGGGCGGGCTGACAGGAATTTCTTGAAGTGAGAATGGGTTTTAAAGAGTGTTATCCTCAAAGAGATTCAAATGGCAGAGACAGGTAGAGAGAGACAGGTAGAGAGAGACAGGTAGAGAGAGACAGGTAGAGAGAGACAGGTAGAGAGACAGGTAGAGAGAGACAGGTAGAGAGACAGGTAGAGAGACAGGTAGAGAGAGACAGGTAGAGAGACAGGTAGAGAGAGACAGGTAGAGAGACAGGTAGAGAGACAGGTAGAGAGACAGGTAGAGAGAGAGATAGAGAGAGACAGGTAGAGAGACAGGTAGAGAGAGACAGGTAGAGAGACAGGTAGAGAGAGAGGTAGAGAGAGACAGGTAGAGAGACAGGTAGAGAGAGACAGGTAGAGAGACAGGTAGAGAGACAGGTAGAGAGA